CGGGGTGTTCTTGATTAAAAATTTGGTCTACATGGACCAAATAGACCGTTCCCTAGCTTGTCATGCATTCTTTCCAAAAATCGGGACTTTTTAAAAAACGCCAAAAATCGGGACTGTCCCGCCCAAAGCGACGTCTGGCCACCTTATCAAAGGGCGAAGATCGAAGCTGGCAGTGGCCCTGCAGGACCTGGGGATGCCCTCTGGAAGGTCAGGATGGGGTGGAGAGGTCCTCTTCGTTGGGAGAGGAGCATCCAAGAACCAGCCCAACCGGGCGGACAGTGTGCAGAGGGCCTGGGATCTCCTTGCCCAGGTGCCAACATTCCATCTGCCATGGTGGCTGGATCCAATAGCTGACCAGCTGCCACTTAGGAAGGAAGACCAGCCAACCTGCCGTTCGGAGGCAAAGAAGATGGCATTCCAGAGCATCCCATGATTCCTCAGCCAGAGTACTCATCTCCTAGGTGGTGGTGGGTGCAAAGGAGTCAATGCATACATGTTTTGCAGGCATAATCAGATCCCGTACAGGCATTTCTAGGGATTAAAGGTCAGAATACAGCAACCCCCTAATCACGCCTCAAAATCCCACCCTTGTGGGATATAAAAAGACTTTTCCCCAGCTTTGTCTCCTCCAAAGATATGCCAAGCATTAGAGGATATTTGCCAGCACAAGGTGGGAGGTGCATTCAGCCTTCAGAATACTGTCCGGTCCCACCACAGGTGGAGCCCACTCCCCGCTGTTATGGACAATGGATGACTTCTCCATGAAGGCATTCAGACCTCAGTCTGGTCTACTGTAGGTGGGTTTCACACCCTACTGATGATGGTTTCTTTCTTTCTTTCTAATCATTTCATTAGGGGCTCATACAACTTTTATCTCAATCCATACATACATCAATTGTGTAAAGCACATTTATACATTCATTGCCCTAGTCATTCTCAAGACATTTGCTCTCCATTTAAGCCCCTGGCATTGGCTCCTCATTTTCCCCCTCCCTCCCCACTGCCCTTGATAATTTATAAATTATTATTTTGTCATATCTTGCCCTGTCCGCTGTTTCCCTTCACCCACTTTTCTGCTGTCCGTCCCCTGATAATGGTTTCTATGGAGAGCCAGAGAACAGGTCAGATTGGCTCAGTGACATCCAAAACTAGGCTGCCTCCCTGTATCTAGGATCCACCCATCTTGTCACATGTGTGCCCCCAATCCTTCCCTTTCCTATTGCGTGTATAACCCTAGATCATCCCCCTCCCATTACTGTATTACCTATAGTACAACCCTTTCCTGTGATGTGTCTTGACCTGTAATTCGTGGGCTTGCATGCTCCCCAAAAGATATATAAGCCTTGGTTAGCAATAAAGAGTGCGCTCCCCCTATAGCTCTCTTCCTGGTCCCTCTCTCCCCTAGTCCCTCTCTCCCTGGCTCTCTCCCCCATACTTTCTCCCAGTGGCTCTCTCCCCAGTTCCCTTCCTGCCCCCCCTACCCCGGCCCCCCCCTCCCGTCCATGCTCCCCTGTCCCCTCTGCCTTTGTCTTCCTCCCCTCCCCCTCTCTCCTTCCCTCTCATTTCCCATCTCCACGTGGACCACCGAGCGAGCATGCTACCATGAAATGTGTCTGACTCTGTTATCTCAATCTCTCGTCTAGCTCTCCTTATTCTCTATGACTTTATTATGTATATACCCCGTACATATCGAACCCGTGATTAGTTGGGCGGG